AGAAATGGAAGAAATATTCTCTCTTTGTCTCACATTAGAGGGGACTTTTGAATGATTTAATTTCGGAGAAAATGGAGATTTAATTACTCGAAACTAAGGAACTATATCAATGTCTGTAATAATTCATGTAATGTATACATTTCTCAATTTTTGAGAAGAGAGATTCTACGATTTTTTTTTCTTTTTTTGAAGTTACATCAATTTAAATTATCAACAATTTCAGATTGTTATTGGTATTTCAATTATACTATTTGTTACTGTTTCATACTATTTATTGCATTTGTAAAATATTATCATTGACACAAAAATAAAAATTTTCATATTGAATATGATATATAAATAGATGTAATATTATTACCACATAATATTAGATATAATATTTTTATATTCGTTATAATATAAAAAACAGATAGAGTGTAATGTAATGTAATGAATAAATGAAATACATAAACAGATGTAGAATATAAAAATCTAAATAAATCAATAGTGTCAATATGTATCAAATGTATCAAATACATAAACAAATATAGATTATAAATACGTAAATAGATCAATCTAATATTACTCAATATTAGATGCAATATTTTTATATTATTCAATATAATATATAAATGGATAGAATGTAATGTAATAATGAATAAATGAAATACATAAACAAATGTGGAATATTTAAAAGATCTAAATAGATCAAATATCTATCAAGTGTATCAAATACATAAACAGATATAGAATACAAATATGTAAATATTTCAATATTGCTTAATATTAGATGTAATATTTTTGTGTTATTCAGTAGAATATATAAAGAGATAGAATGTAATGTAATGTAATGAATAAATCAAATACATAAACAGAATATCTAAAATATCTAAATAAATCAAATATCTATCAAGTATATCAAATACATAAACAAATATAGAATACAAATATGTAAATATTTCAATATTGCTTAACATTAGATGTAATATTTTTGTGTTATTCAATAGAACATATAAACAGATGGAATGTAATGTAATGAATGAAATACATAAACAGATGTGAAATATCTAAAATATCTAAATAGATCAAATATGTATCAAGTGTATCAAATACATAAACAGATATAGGATATGAATACGTAAATAGATCAATATTATTCAATTCTTTTATATTACTCAAGAATAATATACAAATGCAATGTAGTGTATAACGTATCAAATATATATATAGGGTGGCTACTGAAAAAACTGAAGGTTTTGAAAAAGTCATAACTTGTCTTTCTTATTTCCTTTTTTTGTTACAAAATTATAAAATTGTAAAATCCACTATTACATTTCCAAATAAAGTAGTAAAAAATTTAAAAAAACATGCTTGCAAAAGTTATCTTTTTTACTGTTATTCAGTCTTTCAGTGGCCATCCTATAGAACATCTAAATATCAATTTCATCTTTCCAATTTCTAAGTGAAGATAAAATTCCCCCCTCCCCTTGGTTTGAAATCACCTTTTGTGCCCCGTTTCTAATTAAGAAAATGAAACACCGAAATTTTAGAAACTCTGGCGTGCCTGACGCTGCCACCATTCGTACGTCCGCTTATATACGTGTGCAGTTGACTCATATTCAGCCGAAGAGACAAGGCTTGGGGCAGGGGAAAGAGGAATTTGCTCCCTCTCGCGTTAATAAAATAAATTCCTAGAGAGTCCGGTGGCTCTCTGGCGGCCAGTCTCCGTAACTTTCGGAATCGTGACACACCGGTTGCAGGTTTTGGGCAGCGGCAGAAGCGGTGTGTTTAGGCAGCGGTCCAGAAACAGCGGGGCAGAGCAAGCAAGCAAGCACGCTAACGATCTGGCTAAAAGCGTCGCAGTCGTTTAACCGTCGTCGAAAATTAGAGAAGCGTGGTCCCTCGGAGTTGTCCGGCGCTGGATGGACACACGCCGCGGCCATTAGCCAACTCGAAGTTGTGCCGATTCACGCGCTTGATGCCGGGGCGCTGGTGGCATTCGCCTGAGTAAGATCCTCGACGAAAAGACGAGCAAAGCCGAGTAAACAGCGAGAGCAAAGTGTGTACCGCCGACGCGACCGGCAACTTCCTTGCTGTCGAAATTAAGCCGTTCGTCGGTTTGTGGCAGCCTGGTTTATAGAGAGACTGGTCAAATAAACCACTGATCTCAAATTCCATCTACTCCTTGAGTATTTCACATGGCCTCGCGAAAGTTCTGCGGTAAGTCACGGAATAACTGTTTCTTTTAAAAGAATCATTTACATTTTAAATCTGGTCGACATTTAAAAAAAGAAAAAACATTGTATATATATTTATGAAGGTATGTTGTGGATACACACTACTGTTACAAATTACGATTCCAAGAGTGTGAATTTGGAAACAGAAAATTGAAAAATAATCACGGATTTATCGGACGAAGGAAATGACATCTTTTGGAAAAGGCCATCCCGGATTGTTCGGGTCAGATATGGCCCAGGTGAGAAGTACATATTTTGAGCTCAATTTTTATTGTTAAATATATTTTGTTTGTTCAAGAGATTTTCTTGCCAGGTCTGCTCTAACGGTTAGAAATGTGAAGAGTCAACTTCTACCTTATTCGTATCCTGGCACTGAGACAACAAAATGTCTTCTGATTTCCAGACACTGAGATCTATCTATTCTTTTCCCTCGTTAAATTTATGATTTATTCCCAAGTTTTCAGCTAAATTACATATCACAGATCTTCAACACGCGTTGGTATTTCTGCAATTTTTTTTGATGTGAATTTTAAGTTTCCCCTAATTTTTCATACCCAGTAATGAAAGTGATTCTAAAGTTTTGTTTGAGTAATCACTGTTTTTTCTTCCATCTGCATTAACCTAAGAACTGGAATACCCGCATTTATACCCATTTTGCCATTTTGAACTGTCTCTACAGCATCCAACAATCCTTCATTTGTCCAAATCTTCTATTGTTAGATTTTCTTTTGTATTCAGTTGGCATGATTCTCTAGAGAAATATTTACTAGCTATTATATACACACAATTTCATGACGGGTCAATTCTCTTCTATAAAACCAGGCCATCTAACTCGATAGTCTGCGAGTGATGACTCGCTTGTTTTTTTTTCTCTTTCTTTTCTCATAATAATACGATGTCTAATTGTAGAAATGTAACCATAACCTCTAAACGTTACATGTAACCATAACCTCTAAACATTATATTCCAACAAAGTCGTTGCCTCATGGCAAAACATGTTAACAAATTATAGTATATGAGGGACAAGCAGAAAATTTTTTAGATTATTCAATCTACACACAGTACCATAACAAGAAGAATGGTTAATATGGCTCGTGATCAAGATATATAACATACCACTAAAACAAAAAAGCTGATGCGAAAATTGACATTTGATAAACCATGTAATGAGAACTTCAATCACGCGAGGTTCGAACCGAAGAAAAAAA